GCTTGGTCGGCCCGGCAAAAACCGTCAGGGGAGTGGCAGTTCCCCCCCCCCCCTGCGCTTGTTACGACACTGGCTAACACGTCAATCATCCCCCCCCCCCCCAATGAAAAATATTTTTCTACGCCACTGACTCTAGGCCTACCACATCACGGTCTTTTCTTTTTCTTTTTGCTAAGGCTTGCCCCCGGGCTTGCCCTGCAACACGATACAAAACATCATTTCTTATTCTCTAGTAGGGATATGCCTGAAAATCGTCGAAATGAAATGTATATAAATGGGAAGAGCAGCCAGTGGCGTAGCTACGGACAATGCAGTCAGTGTAAAGCACTGGGGAATAGGGCTATTAGGGGCCAATAAATACCTAACAGTAATAATTTTAAATACTGTAATTTCCAACATTTGAAGAATAAAACGGCCAGGGCCCCTCAATAATACTCGGTTTTTAGAGGAGTAATTATTAATTACTGTGTTGATATGTTTAAATGTAGGCCTATTTTAAAAACGGGTCTGAAGAGAATAAGTAACGGCATCATTAATTTTATTTGGAAGAGATGAACAAAACATGGGAAAATTATTAATTATTGTTTTGTTGACGGCAGGCATATGGGTGGATGAAAGTAAGAGACTCAGTGTGACAAAAATTTGTGGTAATGTTATCGATGCTTTAGCAATGCCGTAGCCAGGCTATTGGGACAGTTGGGACAGTCCCACACAATTTTTCTATTGGGTCCACAAAGAATGGTCACATTTTAAAAATGGGTTCAGATTTTTCATATTTTGTGTAAAATGTGTCAACATTTAAGAAAATGGGTCCAGATTTCTCATTTTACGTAAAATCAATTATTCATATTTTTGCATATAATGAGACAACATTTAATAAAATGGGTCCACAATATTTGAATTTACACGCAAAGTGGGTCCACCCTGATATTATCCCACACTCTTTGAAAATCCTGGCTACGGCATTGCTTGTTAGCTTCTGAACACAAATGAAGTTAAAATAAAAATACGTTGTTGAAGTGAAAGCCAACCCGTTTTTGATGCAGCCTTGCCTTAATATGGCATAACCCAGATCTGGCATACCGAATTTTAAGCTCAAGATGCCCTCCTTTGTACGTGCTCGATTCGATTTGATTGATTTTTTTATTGGGTCCCCCGTGGCAAGCCATAATAACTAATTCAATAATGGGTAAAACAAGACATTTTAAGACATGCAAGTGCTTCTGTTGAACAGTCCCCAGCCATAAAAAGACCAATTCTACGGTTTGCCCCTGAAATAACAGTCAACTTCAAAAAAATTTACTGTCGATGGATTCCAAGGTGCTATGATTTAGATTCAATGGATCAATATTTAAAACGCAAGGCTTAGTAAAACTACGTTGTCTAGTTATATGCATGATCTTAGTTAAATTAATTATCATCATATACGATATCAATTGAAAATCACTTAATTATCAGTAGCACATGGAAGCCTAAAGACGATAAAAATCATTTTGTAAACAAAAAAATTGTAACAAAATATAGGTCTAAACAAAACAATATCGTCAGCAAATAAGTAGCAAAGAGGTATATGTTGTTTATGAACAAAGTAATAATAATAATAATCTTTATTTGAAACTTCACTTTTAAAACAGTGGCACACGATGACGGTGCGTTCACAAGAGTATAACATGCAACATAAAATTTAAATAACAAACGGTAACAAATAAATTCAAATACTGTACTGAATTGAAACACTGCGTAGAAAACGACTTAAAATAACTCTAAAATTTTGACCATATTAAAATTGAATAAGCTGAAATAGATCAAAAAATGTACTTAATAAAGGTATTGCCTTAAATATAAAACAAACCAACCAATCGTCTCGACGACAGCTACCGTTATTATACATGATTGGTATGAAATTAGAATGACGCCCTCATTAGTCATCACTCAGACGCGCGCTTGAATTCTTAGGACTAGGGTAGGCCTAACTTTGTGTTGTTGTATTTCGTTAAAATTCGATTCGGTGTATTATGTATCAAACCAAGAAGGTAACAGGCCTGGCTAGAGCTGTGTGAAATCGAGTAAGAAAAGACCGCCTCTGGCTCTGAGCAGCTCTTCTGGTGCATTTTCTTGACATAGCCTAGGCCTAGGCCCCTAGGCTTAGCCATATCGAAGAAGGAAGTCGATGGATTGGACAGAAGCCAAAAAAGGTAGGGCTCAACATAGGCCCTAGGCTCTCTGTGAGTCATACCATGGCGCTGGTTCGCCTTTTTCAGGAATCGGTGGTAGACATCCTGAGTGATGACAAACAACCCAAGTCAGTGGTGCGTAACCAACAAAAAGTAGATAAGCCTCTTGTCTTGAGGCTAAATTCTTGACACCTTATTTACCTTGAATTTACCTTGAATCTTCGAGATCAAAGCTCATTTGTCCCTCAATCATTATCGAATCCTCTACGGGCAAAATTTAAGGTGGTGGCCAGACCAGACTTTCTCTAAGCCCGCTTTAAAAAGATTTACTGAACTCTGATTTATTTGCCACATTACTAGGAAGGGAGTTCCAATCGTCAGTAACTTGAACAACGAATGCCTTTTTCCTAACATTATTAAGTTTAAATTTCTGTTTATACAACTTATATGCATTGCCTCTGGTTATAGAATAATCTGATCTTATAAACAAGTTATTTAAAAATTCATAACACCACAATGGAGGGTCGTATGCTAATGATTTTTTATGGAAAATGTTCTTAAAAGGGTTGTTTTTCATCTACCGATTCGTGTAAAAGGCGTATTCTGAATGACAGAGCGGATGCTACTTGCTTCCAGTCTGGTGGGTGGAGCCCATACATTACAGGGTCTTGTAAATCCAACCACCTGGTGAGAGCTAACAATTACTTATATCAATTAAAATTGTGCACTTTTCATTCTGAATTTTGGGTTTTGTAACTGTAAAACAAAAAAAGAAAAAATAAGTAAATGATTATCATTGTAATTGTAACTGAATTTCACCAACTGTATTGTAAATATTTCATTTAAATCATAAATGAGTATTATTGTTTCTTGGCCTAGCTCGTTGTACTTGGCAATATCTGAAGAAATAAGAAGAAAATGACTTTTAAAATGTGTAGAATAAACATAGAATATAGATAATATAATTTCTTAGATTTTTTTTTTTTTATGTTGAATTAATTCATAATATATATAACTATTTAACTATGCCATATGTGAATTTCTTTCATGTAGCTTTCATATTTTTGGCACAACAAAAATAAAGATAACCTGTATACTGATTTCCCATGCATTGGGCCTATACTTGGCGAGTCTTTCACCAGCGTTTCAGCCAGGCCAATGTAAACATTGAAAGGGATCTATGGGGTATCCTAAAATTTGGTTGATTTGAGGTGGAATTAGTCAATTACAGTAGTAGGCCTACTAGTTGTTGTAGCAGCAGTAGGAAGTACTGTACTAACTCTAATTTGGAAGTAACAGTGATTGTGTTAAAGTATCTTTTTTTGTAACTGCAGGTATGGAAATGAATGCATTCTCAAAAGTTGTGGGCTCACACATGAGATCTCGAGTTTCACCTGCACGGATATACAAATTTGATAACACTTTATGCAAAAGACCTGAATCTCTGAAGAGAACTCTGGATAGATGTGAGGTAATAAAAGCCAAGAAACAAAGAACGGAAAGTAAGAATATAAGCCCAGCAAAATCAGCAGTGGTAGCTAAAGATTTAGAAATTGAAGGTAAATGTGAGAAAAAGGTAAATACACCACTGCCTGATATGAAATTGTCTGACATTCAGAAAATTGAAAAAATATTTTCACAAATTTCAACATCATCTAAAGTTAGAGAAAATAAAGATAAAAAGAGAAAGATGCCACATCCTGGGCCATCTGCACCTGATGTTTCCAAGAGGTCTGCAGTAGAAGAGCAACCTTTTAGTAAACTTTATTTAGGAAAAACTGTGAAGAAGATATCAGGTGAAAATTTAGACTGCGATTACATTCAACTTCTGGATAGGAAATCAGCAGACAATTTGTACCAAAAGTGCGAGAAAGAGCTTGAATACTTCACTGGTGACCTTGCAAAGGTCAGGGTGTTTGGAAAGTGGTTTAATATTCCCAGGAAACAGGTACTGTATAGGCCTTTTAATACAAACGTGACTTGCAACAAAGATATAGGGGCCAACTCGGACATTCTTTAGGTTGTCATGAGAAGATAAAACTTATTTAATATTCTATGACGCAGAACTATTGCATTTGCACTTGCACAGACCCGAAGTGACAACCAATCACGTTGGACTGTGTTGTATGACGCTGGCTGTCTGTTGGCTTTAACATGACCATACTGAAAACTATGAGGTACATCCATCTCCAGTCTTAAGCTGGTGTGGAGCTGTAGGCTATGATCTTGAAGGTATGGTTTATAAAACATCATCCTTATCTGTTGTTTTCTGCTCGTTTAGGTAGCCTATGGAGATGCTGGCCTAACATACACTTTTTCAGGTAACAAGGTACCAGCAAGGCCATGGCCACCATTTTTGGAAGATCTGAGAGACCGTTTAAAGGTTCTCACTGGTGCTTATTTCAGCTTCGTCTTGGTAAACAGGTAAGAAATTATCAGCCTTCTATAATCTTTTATATCTTTTCATGGTGATTAAGTTGATCACATTCCAACATTCAGAGCCTGTAACAGTTCAGAATGGTAGATAAAAAGCTTTCCTTTTTTTAATCTGCCTGTCTAACTGTTGTTGGAGATGACGACAATTTACAGTAATACACAAACATTTTACAAGCTTAAGGAGGGGGTGAAGTAGTAAAATCATGGCGTTTATAAGTTTGCGAACCTAGAGGTTTAAAATTAACCGGTAGGTACCTCAACAACGGGCCCAACATTTTGTTTTTCTCATAGATTTCATACTTTTTATCAATGATTATTCTCTTCTAGGTATGCAGATGGTGAGGATTACATTGGCGAACATAGAGATGACGAGAAAGATTTGGACAAATTAAGTCCAATTGCATCTATCTCATTGGGTCAGACCAGATTGTTTAAATTTCGCCATGGTGATTCCCGAGGGAAGAATGCCAAGAGGAACATTAATCCAGTGAGTGTTGATCTGAAACATGGATCTTTACTGATGATGAACTACCCCACAAACAAGTATTGGTACCACTCGCTGCCTAAAATGAGAGCTGTCAAATTACCCAGGATAAATCTGACATTTAGATGCATTAAAAAATGAGAATACTTTAGCATATCTTTTGTTCATCATCATTCTTTCAGGTTAATGTTCATTTATTCAACAGTAAGGAATTAAAAATTTCAACCTTCAATTAGTAAAATTTCTTGTAGCTACAGTAACAGTGTCTTTAAAAACTTGGGAATGAATACAAGCAATTATTTTCGCTTCTTTGAAATCCTTTAGTAAATCAATGAAATATCATTGATTAAGCTGTCGATAAGGATATAACTTCACCTTTCCTGGCAAGGAGAAAAACAGGGAAAATCATGATTGCATTATGCAAAACATCACCCAATAATATAGCTCTAATGGAAATACACTAGCAATAAACAACAAAAATATAGAGGATTCCACTTGGTACAACCAAGAAATAACATACGTACATGACTTTCATGATGGCTGGGGCTAGGTATATTATTTTCAGTTGTCTAAAAAAGCTGGCTTTGATGTGCTTGTGCTTTCAAACAGCACATTTTCCACCTTTAAAGAAGGGACTTTAGCACCAACTACGAAAGCTGCTCCAGCAGCACCACTACTCTGTGAATCTGGATGTAGTGACGCTTCATTGAAGTTTTCTTCATGTTTCTCATTCTAAAACAGGACATCTTGACATGTCTTCGAGTTCAATCTAAGCAGATGAAGCATGCATTATTTTGTTTGACCATCTTGATTCTTTCTCGCTCAGTTTTCAATATGAACTTCTTGAATTGGTTGAAGTTTGCAATGCTCTAATTTCGTAACATGCTATTGCATTTAAATAGCTTTAAGCTTATGTACATATGTGTCTTGAATTTTCAACTTGCATGCCAGACTAAATAAATAAATTGGAAAATTAGTACTGTATGCATATTCAGTGTTTAATTAGGTATACTCAATGCCGTAGCCAGGATTTTCAGATAGTGTGGGACAATATCAGTGTGGACCCACTTTACGCGTAAATTCAAATAATGTGGACCCGTTTTATTAAAAGTGGACCCATTTTCTTAAAAGTTGACCCATTTTGCGCTAAAACAGCATAACTTAGACCCATTTTTGAAAATGTGGACCCATTATTTGTGGACCCAAAATAGAAAAAATTTGTGGGACTGTCCCAATAGCTAGCTACGGCATTGGGTATACTGTAGGTTATAGTCTTGAAAATAGCCTTTGCCTTAGGATGAACTACATTATTATACTGTTTCTATATTCAGTATATAAATTAGTCAATCATGATGTCATCACTGCAGCTCCTATACAGTATTGCACACTAGGCTTGATCTTTAGGTTCATATGCAAAAGACCAATTCAACTTGTACATATCGTGCACCGCATTTTCACACTAGGAGTACGACGCGCGTCTGCAGAAAGAGAGGGCACTCGCCCAATCGTCGTTTGTTGACAATTGGTAATTGAAAAATTACTTTCATAAAACAAGGTTGATAGAACCCGAAGAAATTTTTGAATACTTGGGGTCGATTTAATGCATTCAAAACTTTCCTTCGGGCCTTTCAAACATTAAATCTAACCTTTGTATAATCATATTCCGGTAGTGTACGCGCAGCTCTACTAATTGCTTTTTAAATAGTAAATCGGGGTAAAGCAATATTTGTTTGGTGATCTAATTTTCAATTAGATTTATAAGCTCAAAGTGTATGTTGTAATTTATTGGTTTATATTTTTGATATTTTGCCCTATATATAAGATGTATAATGTTCAATAAAGACAGTACCAAGGTTGTTTGCTTCTAGATGGAAGTGGTAGTAAGAGAACAGATTGAAAAACAATACACTGTAAATAGTCTACATGAGGTAAAATAAAGGCAAGAAGAGTATTCTCTGACTTTGATTTCTTTAATGACAATGGCAGTAAGGATAGCTATGATGTGCTCCAAAAGAAACGTGAACCTTGTCCGAGATCTTGTTTTACATCTCAACTATTATATTAGAGATAAAGGAGGTATACACACTATAAGACATCACAAAAACAAAAAATTCACATCTTGAACCAATTATGTATCAAGAATCTCATTTTGATATACAGTATTGTCGATTACATGATTTCCTGATCATATCTTGCTAACAGCCCCACAAACACAGGCTATAAATTGCAAAAAAAGCAGATATATTTAGTTCTTTACACCCTCGGCCATCCAAAAATTTTAAATAATTCAATGTATAGTAGATTAACTTATGGCCAAACAAGGTAGGAATTATGTATGCACAGTACCTGTATTATTGTGACGGTGGTTTCCAGACATAGAAGACAACCAGAGCCGTAGACAGGATTATCAATGGTGGTGTGCATGGGTGTTCAAAATGGAGTAACTGGAGTTGCTGAGAACATGTGATGGGGTCAAGAGCCTGTTGGATAGCAACTTTTGTATTACAGAAAACAAATTTTATACTGTATTCAGTACATTTTCAACTGTGGACCTTTTTCAATTTGAATACATGCCTGATAGACAGCTTTCAGGCCGATTCATTATCATGTAAAATAATTAGAAATTTGGACTTTCAAAATCCTTAAAAATTTATTTTCAGCCAATATAATGGTCTATATGTAAAAATATATAGTAACAGTACCATGTAATACTAGGAAAGCTTTTGTACGCCGACATCGTTGATAAAGTAAGCGCACGATAGACAAAATTGACACAGAAACAGATTGCTTAATTAGCTGTTATTGGTATTTTGGGCTTATTTTCTAAAACACGGAATTTAACAAAATTCGGGAGACCCGGTGATTGCATGGAAATTCAGGAAACTCCTGATCAAATCAGGAGGATTGGACATATGCACTATTATGTATCCGTTAATTGGCAGGGTATTTTTTTTCTCATTTTGTATTATAAGCTAATAACTGACTTGAATATACAAAGTATTTTTCCAGGATACAAACAGCATACTGTATCTTAAATCATTTTATTAGTTTGTGGCTAGTGGTCTCCCTATAATTAAAAAACACTTTTAATTAAAGAATATTTCAGCAGCCCTTGATGAACAATTTTTTCATCTTTTTGTTTAATTACAAAAAAAAGTGGTCTTTAATTGGAGGTGAGGCCTGTATATTCATACCTTCTTTCACCTCTAAAAAAAACCTCGTATTTTGTATGATGAATGTTCAAGCCAGACTTTCATATCAATTGTTTCATATGCCAGTTAAATAAATGGCACAACTTACAAATTTTCATGTTGAATCTATTTCTCACATTTTACTGAAGACTATATTCTTCAGTAATTATCAAATAAATAAGATTTAAAAAAAAAAAAGACTAGTGTCTGACACATCTTTAGAGTTGAATTACAATTTATATCAACAAAAAACAACCAGTGTTAAACCGCCCTCTCTAGCTGTCTAACCATATCCTGTGGTAGTCGTTGGCACCGAATCCAGCATTGCACTTGGGGCATTTTCGTTGACGAGTTTCATAGCGCGTCTTAATGCAATCAAAACAAAACACGTGGTAACATTTGGATAGGATGACGTTCTTTCGACCTTTCTTACAACATGGGCATGTTAACAGATCCTGAAAGAGACATATTAATAAAAAAATTTTATATTGCTAATGTTCACCATTCAAATAACAATTTACCATTCAAACAGTAATCATTACATGCCAGTTTGGATTGGAAAGATATGTTAAATAGTAAACTAAATAATGAATGAATCACTGACCTCAACTACACACCACAAATTAACATAATTATTTAATACAATACCCACTGGACTTAATCTCGAGGAGAAGCCTATCTCGAATTGAAGCTCACCTCTTCAGTTTGCAAAATTAGCCTCGAAAAGAAGCCCATGGGCTTCTTTTCAAGATAGCATAGGCTTCTTTTCGAGATAGTACAGTACATACTCTGTACATGAATATCAGAGAAACAAAATAAATTAAAAACATGCTTGGTTTATACAGTAGTTTCGGTGATTTAATGCTGGTTAATACACTCCAAGATGCAGATTGATGTTACAGTGGCCCTGAATTTATTGTTTTATAGTACATTTCCCAAAATTTTCAGCATTCATTTTGAAAAGAAGCCCCTCCACTTTACTTTGCAAAAAATAGAAGCCCAGAGCTTCAATTCAAAGTTTTACGGTATATATAATTAGAAAATAGAATTAATCTCTATTAGGCCGAAGTTTGATAATCTGTTAAATTTATCATACTCAGGAGTATGAATGGGTACCTGGTTTCCTGCTCCTGCACTGTTATAGAAGGAATACTTAAACATTTGGACAATAATCAGGGATAAAAAATAAGCTCTTTGTGACTGAAAAGAAATGCGCTATACAAATGCAAACTAACATAACAGAATAAAAAATTAGTAATACTGTATTACACTATAATGTCATTACATATTACACTATTCATCATCATCATCAGTATCAGTCTGTCAGGCTCTATTCTGATCTGTTCTTTGCCAGATTTGCCCAGTTCACACCAAGCTCCTTCTGGAAAAGATCACTCCATCTCTTGTTAGGTCTTCCTCTTTTTCTTTTGTGTCCGTATTGCGTCCATACTGTTAACTTTTTGGCCCACCTGTTATGGTCCATGCGAGCTACATGGCCTGCCCACTCCCACTTTGTTATAGACAGTTTTTAAGATACATCTTTATCTTTGTTGCCTTTCTTATATCTTCATAACACTTAATAATACATTAAATCCTATTTCAAAATTAAAATGTTTTATTTATGCATTACACATAAATATCAAGGGTAAACATTTTGACTAATATCATACAATCTGAGTGGCCTTACCTTATATGTTCTAATTTCTTCCATTAAAACTTCATCAGCGCTGCTTGTTAACTCAATTCGTTTATACCTCTCCACCTTGCGTTTCAAACTAACTATTTCCTCCTGAAAAAATAAATTCCAGATATATAAACTGATTACAAAATTGAATAAGATTGTAGCTTATTTCTCACACCTTAACACAACTCCATTTTTAGTTTGTTCTCTAGATTTATTTAATATAAGTACTTATACATTACTTTTATTTATATATATTTCAACAGTATGTTTGTTTATATTGCTTTACTCTCTAGCTTTTTTGTAGATCCACAATGGTAATTATGAGTTTAATGTAAGGAGTTTAACATATACAGTGGATGCGGTTTTGCCAACCTCGAGATCAGAGTTTCAACCTTTCACTGTGCATTTGCTTGTCTTTGAGCAAGGCACTTTATCTACATTGCTTTAGTCTACTCAGCTGTATCAATGGGTACCAGCAAATTGCTGGGAGTAAACTGCAGAGGACCAGCATGACACCCAGGGGGAGCATCACACCCTTGTCTGCTTCATGCTACTTGAAACTGGGGATAAACTCCAGCCCACATGAGCCCCGTGCCTCGACGAGGATTGACTTACACATACATCAAGCAAAAGCATCACTTTATATATACGGGCGGATGAACTCCTCGGAGCCAATGGTCAACCATGCTTTAGTTTATGGAGTAGGTTTTAGTTTCATAGGACAACAACACCTTTTTTCAAAATGTCAAACTCAAAGAGCTCAATCACTAAGTGCATAGAGGCTTTTTTGCATTATGCATTTTTACTATTATATTATATATATTATTTGTTAAATCATGTACACAATACACCTTTTTATGTAAAAAAACCTTTATTATTCACCTAAGATGAGCAACATTTTGCTCATATTGTTACATAAGAGCTAATCATTTCATATTTTTTTGATATTATAACATTGTTTCTGAAATAAAGAGTTTAATAATTAATCTGGATTGATATGTTGTTCTAATTAGTAAACCAAATCACCAACCTGTGATCTCCTGAACTTGTGGTTTTCCTGCTCAACTGCACTGCTGTTTTCCTTGACCAGTTTCTGCAGGTCAATAACCTGCTTCGACAATTTTTCATACTGGAGTTTTAGATCTGCAGTCGACTGCGAGTTTTCCATTGCCTTTCAAATAACCCACACATTGTTAGTAAACATCATTGGGTAAACAATATTAATGAAAATGATTTTTTAAATTATATAATTATGATGGGCTAGACATATGTCCAAATGAGTATAACATGAGATAAAATCAGTGGTAGGCATTGGTTTGTTACAGAACATAAAATATATTTATTGAAAAACACATATGAGGCTTGCTGTCCCGAAATCAGCATATTGTCACTAAATGTTAAACTGAGTGATAAGAATGTGGCAGTATTGTATATTTTAGTACAGAAGAAAACTTTTACTCATAACTTTGGCAACAGTAAGTCGATTTCAGTAAATCATTTCAAAGCTTATAATGTTATTGCAAAGTCAATTTTCATGTTTTGGTCACCGATGCCCCATATTTGATCCTGTACACGGGATTTAGCTTTATTCATGCTGACCAAAGATACTACAAACACAAGATAGAACACTCGCATAGTAAAAATGAGGCGAAAATCGTGCCCAATGTAGGCGGCGCCCTTCCTTTTAACCATGCAAGTTTTCTATACTTCATGCTCAACGTACAGGGCGCCCTTTCTGTTTGCTAAGTATATCCAGACGCACACGGCGCCCTTCTTTTTCCACTAATGGAGGAAAAATTTATCACTAAAGTGTGTCCGGCCATACGATTTTGCGCTATATTGTTGTTTTCTATACTGATCCATAGGCTTAATTTTGTGTTTTATTTGGATAATAGCAACGATTTCCCAAGGAATTATGTATTCACCGTTGTCACTGTATGGGTACAATTGTATTAATTGTACAATTGTGCACAATTTTTTAATTGAGAATTCATAATAAACTTGGTAACAAAAGTTTGGTTGAAGTTTTTTTAGATCCAGCCGTAAGGGACGTCCCATTGTTTGTATTCCCACCATGCATTTCGGTGGAACGCTTTTTTTGTGCGGAGAACTCTACCTTGTGTTTCTAGTATCTTTGACGCTGACAACTGTCGTATATTTATCCATCATTACAAGACACAAGCGACACAAAATTAAAGGTGATTATGATCATAGGTGTAAAATGAAATTTTTTCATTTATACATTTCTCTCATAATAGCTTTTTTTTTTTGTCATCTTTTAGATGCTTTCCATCAATCATATTCTTAAGACAAAAAAAAACAAAACAAAAAAAAAACAGGTAAAATAGTTATTGCTTTTTGAATGCGATATTCTTGTTCAGTTACTATTTGTTAAGATTCAAATGAATTAAAGTAGCAATTACCTTTTTCCTATTTAATTCTGATGCATTTTGCCTTAATGTAAGCTCCTTCTCGATACTACCAAGTGTCGTCTGTAAGATTCTTTCCTTTTCCTCCAGCTTTCTGACCACCTGGTTCTGGGCATCCACCTGTGACTGCAGCGTGTTCACCTGGTCAGCGAGAACGTCTTTCTCTTCCCGTAGAAGCTTATGAATCTGATTTGATTTAATTCTCTGTAATATAAAGATTATGATTATGATAATCATGATTATAAATTTTTTTAAATAAATTTTTTTTTTAAACTTTTCCACCTGCCCTATTTATCATTATTAAAAAAAGAAGGGCAAAAAAACTATTTACTTTATTTGGCCTTATGTAATATAAAGATTATGATTTAAATTTTTAAAAAATATTTTAGGTAAACAAATCTGTATAAATATAAACAATTTAAATTCTATAAAGACCACCTAATGGATTTTCCTGCTAAGCTCCACCCCTTGAATAGTATTGAAAATGTCCCACAAAACATCAGTGTACACAAATGGGACACACATGTATTCCTTCTGAATAGTCAGTACAGTTGGTAAGTTTAATCCTCAGTTGATTTAATAATGCTGTAGAGGCTCACCTTTTAGAAAATAGTACATTAGACATCATAGGCTTAGCCAGCAAAGCGTCCGGCCGTCTTTTGGACGACCTACAACTATCAACTAATTAGGACGCCCACTTTTACCGTGATGGCTTGTACGGCTTGGACTAATCAGTTTGGCCTAGCCTAATTGGGCCGTCTACCTTTAGTAAATTCTTTATATTCCTCAAATCTATCGAATGTTACATTATACTAAAGCTAAATCATATTTAAGTTTGATAAAAACAACATTTATTGATTGAATGGACGTTGTTTTCGTACCAATATTCGGTGTGGATTCCCAAAGATGGGCGTGGCCAGCCCATCGGCTCAGTGCCACGCCACTAGTTTTCATTTTGGACAGCCTATTTCGTTTTTCTGGCTAAACCCCTGCTGGACATGTAGATGGATGGATAGATAAATGGATAGATATATGGATGGATAAGTGGATCGATTGATCGATGAAGCACATTAGAAGAGTGTGAACTATACATGGTATATATGTTTAATAATCGTCAAAAATCAAATGTTGTTTTTGGATGGGACTATCAAGGTACATTGTTGTGTCAGTCAATCAATTAAATCAATCAATCAATCTAACCCATAATTCTATCAATTCATCATTCAAGCAATACATTAAATTTAATCAAACCAATTAAATTGTTTGTACATACCTCTGACATTAACTTGAAGTTAGCATCATCTTTCTCCCGTAGCTGCTGCAGGAGTCTGGTATTCTGCTCCTGCATATCTTCAAATGCTTGACCTGTGACATCCATCTCAGACAATAATGCCTCTTCCTCCTGCGAACACCAAAACAATAGTAATAAATATAAAAAAATAAAATATCTAGAATAAAAAATAACAGTATGCCTAAAATATTCAAGTTACCTGCTTCCTGTCAGCTAGTTTCCTCTGAAGTTGATGCACCAGTTCATCCATACTACGGATCTTCCGCATGGCATCTTCGTTTGACAGATGTCTTGTGTCTTTCTGGTCTCTGTCCTCCAGTTGCTTGACCCTTGCTCGCAACTCTTCTAGCTCTGCCTTGGCTCTTTTTTCAGCTGCTAGCAGCTGAAAACAATCAATTATGTCTATCAGTATTTAGCATTTTTGTATGATATAGTAATATCTTTTGTTCTTTAATCTGGATAGTGCAAAGTCTAATTTGAAAAGTCAAACCATTTAATAAATTCATAGTCCAAAAGTGTCTGTTGTTACTTATATATATTTTTTATTATTTGTTAGTCTTTCTCATCAATGTATAGTTTATAGTGAAGAAGTCTAACTGAATACTGTACACTTAAATACAATGTGAACCCTGCCACACATATAGACACAAACAATATGAATAAAACATCGCAACCTCTGTTGGTTAACTTGCAACAAATTACCATCTCTACAGAGTTTGTTGCTTGAATTTGTTTTGGCCATTTACATCATATAATGTAAAATTTACCATTGCTTTCTCGCGCTGTTCTTTGGGAGCACCTTTGTACATGTCTAGGAGTAACTTCATCTCCTTCTGGTTTTCTTGCGATTTCCTAGACACAAAAAATATAAATATTCATAGCACATAATCAAGGTAATTTTGGTGCAAACTGAAAAGAATGAGATGGCTCAACCAATTGGGAACATCCATATAATCAATATCATATTGAACTTAATAGAGGGAATAACTGTTCATTGTTATCACCACAAAGACTGTATTCTATTTGATTGTAACCAAAGAGTATAGATAGCTAAGAGAAGTGCACCATGCCTGCAGTTATGCCAAGAAAGGTGTTCCCACTGCTACATAGTTAAAGTTCATAACGTGAACGCCTTACTAAAATAAAAGTGCACCCGCTGCAACTTTGTACTGATTAGAAGCATTTGCACTATCAATTGTGTGGAGACCAAATAAGTTGGTCAGATGGCAGCGGGTACCCTCCTATAGCAAGCTGCGTATCAAGGGACACTGTTTGTTTATGCACAAAAGTAGCAGAATGTTAGTTATCGATTAATTATTTATATTTGATTGAATTGTAGACCTCTTGTTTTCATGTTTTTGTTTGTTTTTTTCTTTTTTTTGGTTATTTGCAATCTTTGTATGTATCTATAGTATATTGTTTAATTTTCTGTGTGTAATTTTTGTCATGATAAAAAACAGCATGTATTTGTAGATTTGTGAATAAATAATGTTTTACTACTACTATTCCCTATCCATACACATTGCTGTAACCTACTTTAGTTGAGCCTTCAAATCCTTGATAGTATCAGAGTCTGTTTTGCAATCCCTTTTCTCAACTTCTTTCATTTTCTCGCGATCTTTCTCTTTTTCTTTTTCTTTTTTCTCTTCCAGATGCTCTTCCTTTTTAAGCTGTTCCTTCTCTTGGCTGCCCTCCCCCTTTTCAGAACCAGTACTGGCTGAGCTGCTACTACTGTGGCCATGTGGCATGCTATCTCTGCGACTTGCTTCATGCCTTAACTGAAAAGAAGCAGATTAAAAATTCATTTTACTTATTGTTGTGATCACATCTATTAATATACTGTAGCTGTAAAGTGCACCATATATCTTACAATATAAATTGAATGGAGTTAGGAATGGGCTTTTACCCAAGGAACAGAAAATGCAATCAAAGATGAGCCTGCAGGCCTAAGCTAGACTAGATTTTCTATTTTGGGGTTTAGTGTGGGTCCAGATAGTCCAGGCTAAGGTCAATGTAGCCCAGGACAAGGCTACCTATTGTTTTGATGGTAAATTTAAATGCAATTTATTTCAAATTGCTTCCATATCTCTGAAGTTAAGAGTGGAGCATTCTGAATGAAAATTACTCAAAAGTTAGGATAGGCTTATACCCAGGCACTGTAGGCTTAAACAACAGTATGTGATATAATGCATTTATGTTTAATCAGACAGTCAGAATAAAATGCAATCAAACAAAGCAACAAAATTCCTACTTGCTTTAGAGGGTGTGAAATTATAGTTCAGATAAAAATATTCGCAAAATAATAATAATAATAATAATATCACAAAATTAATCAGATCATAGTTGATTGCATATGCTTTACAAAGAAAACTCTATCAGTTTTGCCGCTGTATTAGTTCTGGGGATCCATCCCCCAAGTGTGCCAATTAAAATGAATTTGTTTAATTGATAGTATGTACCTAAATACTACAGTACCATAATTTTTATTATAATTATTATTTTGCTAATGTATGATAATACAAACATATCATAGATATGGGTAATGGCAATATATGAGTAATGGCAATTAAAGTAATAAAAATGTTGTAAACTACAATGAATATAGTATGTAATATACTAATTTAGCATTAAATGGAGTTGAATGAATGACCTTAAACAAATGTTTTTATTTAAGAGTTAAATAAAATATAACAATAGTAATCACGTTCATCTTTATGCTATTCTTCAACCCCAACATCCACATCATCCTCATTTGTCATTTTCATCTTTGTCGTCGTCATCATCATCTTCGTCGTAAATTATTATCATGGTAAATTATCATTGTAAATTATCATCATAATCAATGTAATTACAGTACAATATTCATTCATACATATATCGGAAATAATAACAGCATAATATAAACAGCAATAATAAAATTATACTTGTTAAATAACAATTAACAACACAATAATAACAATAAGAAAAAGAATAGCAAGAAACTTATTTATAGAAGTTTAGTTTCGAGGTGGTGCATTTGAACACAATTAATAGATAATACATTATTATACAGTTGCTTTACTATAGAATACAATATATTATATAAATATACATTACTAGAAACCTCAACTATGTTTTCCAAACTACACTGAAGTCTACCCTTAACCACTGCCATCAATTTACCAAGGGAATTGGCTATTCATTATACAAAAGTATGTGAAATAAAAGTAAAGTTATTTCCTTCCTTTGAAACTATTGTTTCAACTTTGTGAATACTTATTGAGATACAAGCTTCTGTACACATGGTATACTTTTTCACAAGAAGTTAAAATTCTGTAAATCTGCTGCAATGAATTTGGCTTTTTTTATATACAGAGTGTGTGAAGCCTTTTTTTATTCCATAAAAGGGCCCGTCTGTTTAAGAATTAGAGCTAGCATCAGAATGTGTTTGTCCTCACAGACATTAAGTTGAATCATTCAAAGCTCACTCATTTAATACTGTTCTAACTATATACACATTGATCAAAATAACTGTTTTTATCACTTTTATTGTATAAGTACTTAGCTCTATGCAATGTTAATCAGTTACACTGATGAGGTCCTCAGGATAAAGTATTCATTAAAATAAATGTTCCGAAATATGTCAACCCTTTCTTTATTGTCTCTGACACACACTATTCTTTATAATACATGGAACATGTGCAACACACTATGATTATTTTATATAGTAATTGATATCAATCTTTTAATGATTATGGGTAATGAAGTATAGACCATATTCTACAACCTAGTATAGCTACTTATGTTAGTTTCTGCAGAACAAATCGTAGTTTATCTAATAATGCTCTTAATATTAACATAAGAAAAAAACATATCTTAATGAATATATAATAATAAGTTAGAGAACTAGTTCAGTCAAAAAAAGCAAGCAAAGAAAAAATGAAAAAAAAAGGCTAGAAAACAATCACCGTACAGTTAGAATATACAATAAAAGGATTACAATGCCTTAAACGACATAATAAACAGAAGTAACCCGCTTTTTAAGAATAAAATATCAATGCTGCAACAGAAATTATATTAACTTAACAATCAAAAAATAATAATATAAAGAAATACTGTTGCTACGGAGCAATGAGCTGGTCATAATCATGACAGGAAGTAAAAAGCGGTATAGGACTGAACCGACATGGATTTTAAAAATTTATATCGCAAGTTTTCAGCACCAGAATGCTTTTCAAAGTAGTAGTCAAGGCTGACTGATACATACCTGACCATTATTTAATAATTAGAGCATTGAATTTCTTAATTTAAAGGATTGCAAGCATTACACAAATAAGCAGTGATGTTTCTAGTCTACGTAAGTTTGATAACAGGAAAAAAACCATCTGTTTTTTGTTTTTATCAGTGGTGACATCAGCCCCATGTGCTTAATCTCAAAAACAGCCCACCTCGAAAAGAAGCCCCACTCTTCAGTTTGCAAAAGAAATCTTGAAAAGAAGCCTAACCTAATCAAGATAATATGGGCTTTTTCTGCTTTACTGTAGTTCTTACATTCATACTGATGTTATCGTTTATGATATGATAACATGTCAGTATCAATACTATTTCAATGTACAGAATTTTGAATTTCATAGTTGAAAAATGTAGTATAGTAGCAATTAAAAAATTCACAGCATTCATTTTAAAAAGAAGCCCTCTTCTTTAGTTAGCAAAAGTAGTCTCAAAAAGAAGCACATCTCAAACACAGGCCCATCTCGAAAAGATGCCAATCCAAGAGTGCTAAAAAAACAGAAGGCCAGGGCTTTCATTTAAGGTTTTACGATACTGATGACATGTGATCCTTCAAAAAGCAAAATTCAATAGTCTAATTTATTATTGGTCAGTAATATGCAGACAGTATATCTTTAGTAAAAATTAAGGCTGTGTAAAAAGAAAGTTGTTTGCAAAAGAAAGTTTTCAGATTTAATTAAACCATCATCACATATATAAATAGAAACAATACACTAGACTATGGAGGCTACTCTTTGTGTATTGTATTATATTAGAGCACCCCAAAAGAATACACATTTGATAAAACAACGTATAAGATACAAAACAATGCCATTGATTAAGAACTACTATTTCTAAAACCATAAGGCCTGCTTTCTATACTCCCGTAATCTTACCTTGTAGTTTCCTAAATCATGTTTTAGCTGTAATGAAATGGTTTCCACAATCAGACAACATACAAAATGCAAACAAATAATGTTAAAGTTATACCATCACTAATATGTAATTATATATTCTCTATCATTTTTCAGAAATCAGAATACCATGGAGGAAAAAAAGCAAGGAACACAGACCCATGGATAAAAGATAAAAAGTTTACAACATGAAAAGGTAATCGCTTTAACTTTGATAAGATGCAACACAGGAATAGTAATAATATTAGTTGTAATGTAGCCTCCCTGATATTTACTTTGTTGAGTTGCAAAGTTCGTGGTATATAAAAAATCCAAATAAATACATGTTGTAATAAGGCACAGCTACTACACTTGTAACAATGCATTTTTTTTACTAAACTTTTAAAATTTACCTTGTTAATTTCCAGGTGAGCCTCTCGTAGTTTGCGCTTGTATCTGTTGATCTCGCCTTTCAGCTGTTGGTTGTGGTTCTGAAAACTGGAGACTAGATGTCGAAGTTCTCTGTTGATTGGACCTTGGAAATTAAGGCGAGGTAAGTTAGTCAATTGTACATAAGATTATGATGATGTGACTATGTTACAAATGTTTATAATTACATAAGCCTTCTCTTCTTCAGATAATATGTCAACAAATATAAATTCAAAACATCCAATAAATATCATTTATTCACTCATCACTGGGCAGGTGTTGCTATTGGATACTAAGTCATATCTTACCAGCTTGCTCATTGGCTGCCAGATTTTGCTCAAATTCTATCCTCAGCATTTCATACTCTTTGCGCACCTGGGCCAAGGTGTCTTCCAACTGGATCACTTCTAACCTTAGTTTCTTCTGGCATGTCAATTCATCACTCTAAATATTAAGAAGCAAATAAACAACCATTTATTCACATACACGTGTACGATAAGCAATGGGTTATCTAGATCAAAGTTATAAGACCAGGTTTGGGCCAGAATACGCAAATATGTGGGGATCTGCCACTCCTCCCACACCACAAGTCTGTTTAATTTCGCAGAATATGCTGTTGCCTATTTATACTCCTGAGAGAAACAAACATTTAGAAAAAAGGTGTTTTTCACAGCAAGGGTTCCAAAATCAGAGCCACAGCAACAACTTTCCAGTAGATAAGCAATAGATAATTAAAATAATGATCTGACTTTTTAATAATTATAATAATTATTTGTTTTTATCGCCCTCACATTCAATTCAACAGCAAGCACATTCACCCAATTACAGAATGGTAACGCTGCTATACCAAGTCTATAAGGCTTAGGAAGTGGAGTTCTGAATTTCAAGGGAAAATCTTGGTGGCTCACAAACTTTTGACCCAGTACTCTAGGATTTAAATGAATGCTAAAACCCTACTGAGGTTGATAAAATAATAAATTGATCGACTGACTGACCGGCCTGTTGATCAAAGTTCATATTTGTATGTGTGCAGGGACTCCAACTCACCTCCATTTGTTCAATTTGTCTAAAGTGAGCATTCTTAGTGGTTGCCAGAAGATTTCTTGATTCTTCCAATTGAGTTCTCATGTCTTGTGCTTCTTTGTAGAGCACTGTGAACTGCGACTGAAGACACTTGTAAGGGGCAGTATCCAAGAGAATGGATTCAGGAATATGCTGAAGCTAAATGAAAGGAAACAAAAGAAATCAATTTGCTAAATTAATGACCATTCAGAATTTAAGTATGATTTATATATGACTAATTAACAAACCTTCAGAAAACTAATGAAAAATTTCAATTTAATAAATTTATGACCATTCAGTATGATATGTATGTATGACTAATTAACATTCAAACTTTCAGAAAACTACTGAAAATTTTCATTGGTTAATAAAGTTGTCTTTTTTCGGTTTTAATACTTTAAGTTAAAAAGTTGCAACAAATAGTGCAGTCTTGTAAGAAACATCCTTACAGCATGACTGGAATGCTTCAAAAGAGATTAGAGAAGTAGCCCATGAAATTTGGGAAAAAATAGTTCACATGGCTTCCATTGGGCGATGTGTTTTAGGCCTTGGCTGGCTAGCGTCACTTCTTCCTACCTAGCCTACAAAACGACTAGGCCTAGCTAAGAGAGAAAGACAAGCACACATCATACGTACGGTATGCCTATTAAAAATAATTATTGTTCAAACAAATCTGTTTTACGAACAACCAATTTCCTTGGTTTGACGACGTACGTTAAATTTAGTTTCTGCTATAGCCTGTTTCAAAGTTTTGAATTTCCAAGCAGTATTTGAAGCAAAGCAATCTATTGCCGTCCTGTGGCAATTCAGGCCCGGCAATATGGTTGCCAATAGACCAAATTAGCGATCAACACTGTTCAGCTATAGTGGGTATTCGAACCAAAACAAACGCACGAAGATAGGCGATTTACACAGTAATTTAAGAAAATAGCCTTTACTAAACGCCTCATACACACTTTGTGTGTAAAGTTGAGTGTGATTTAAATTAACAGAAACCATTGTTACATGTTTATGAATGTAACATCATCTTTTCTCTACGATTGTGCACGCCAAATGTGAAATATAACGAGAATAAATCTTACTATTTTGGGAATGAAACGTACATTGGTCGCGTCTGCCTGTGTTACAGCACGACGACGGCAGCCGTGTATTCACTCACAGTGAATCATGGCGTTGGTCGATGAATGTGCTTGTTACAAAACTCATGTACTTGCAGATTTCAAGGAGAGCTAAGTTATTCAAAATAATTGAATAATGTTCCTAAATTAACACCAATAACTTTGGCAGACAGGATGTCTAAACAAGTAAAAGACTCGACGACAGCACGGAGCTGAACGTTTACAGTCAGGCCTCACTCAATCATCACATACAGCCATGTCGCGTTATCGTGCAACAAATGTCAGAGGCCAAGGCCTAGCCTGTAAAAACTCTACGTATATTTAACTTAATTTTACATGAAAATCAAATCAAACTTTTGATAGTTCTATGAACCTTCCTTAACCTATCAATGTTTTAAAAAGTATCTTAACCGCGTACTTTTGTTTTTTTGCTTGTTTTCCTGGACCATACAAAAACTTGCAACGTTATAGAATAGGACTTTTAGGCTCTGTTTACAATTTTACACCCATTCGGCCAAATTGTGATGACATCATCTTTCATCGTTAATTCGGTCTATTGCCGACATGAAATTCATGGGCTGGAGAAGATTACACTTGTGCATAAACACCCATGAATCCCAGTAACCAAGGATCTGAGCTAATTGAAGCTATACTAGGCTCTATTTTTTCCATCACGTTTAACTTTTTCCTATATGATTTTATTATTACTTTGACATATATTTGTCTTTGTCAAACTCTTGGTTTATTTCATGTAATACATTTTCTCTAAAAAAAACAATAAATTGAATGAATGAAAAAAAGACTAACAGCTTTTGGGAAAGGTAATTTCTATGTATCTTATAAATACAGACATGCCAACCCTACAAGGCCAACAAGTGGAGTCTTCCTAAGACATGGTACCAATTTGATCGGATTGTAAAATGTAACCATTTTGACTCACAATCAGCAATACCGCCGTACAAAACTAGGCCCTAGGCCTAGACAGAAAATCAACACTGCGTACCGTAGGCATCACATATGCCTACAGTAGTTTTGATTTCAAACTGACAGGGTCCACTGACAGGATACTTTCCGTTAATAACTTGCATGTTTGCGTGAGTTTTAGCTTCTTTTTTTTTGGAGGAAGCTCAACACTACTACTCGTTTATCAAGCATTGCCTAGGCCTACATCCATATCAATCTCATTGGACTCCATTTTCGAAATCATGCTTTACTAGACTGTTGATGTTACGAAATCAGTAGACCATGGAGCACTATACAGTTCAGAGTGCATGCAGTGCAACTCTGACTGCTGACATCAATTTGGCCAATGAAATTTGTTTTCTCGAAATCAGTAGACCGTGGAGCGCGAATTTATTTTTCATATACAGTTCAGAGTACAGCGAAATTGGAGTGGTTGGCATGTCTGTAAACATTGGGATTTGATTTCTAGACTTAACAAAACTGTTTCGAGACTTACATCCATTTTCACTTGTTCCAATTCCTTTATCTTCTCCTGATGTTGCTCTTGTAGCTTCTCAAGCTCCAACAGACGTTTATCTGCCAGATCCTTGTGATCATCCAGTTCACTAACAATGCCTTGAACCTTGGGAAAAAAAAATTAACAAAAAACTTTTTAAAGAGCGGAATGGCAAAACTGCATACAATTAATCTTAATCCTAATCCAAAATCACATGTATATCTACAACACATTATTGTATATTCAACAGTGACTTTGGTAGTCTATGATTGAGATACCCACAGGCATAAACAGATTTGATCATTATTACATTAACTATAACACCCTTTAAAAACCAGAACCACCCATTAGTAAATTAACGACAACATATATGTGTGCATCCTCATTTCTTTTTCCTTTTTAAGGGTATTCAAGTTAAAAGACATGAGGTAGTAGTTGGTAAGTATTCACAAAATAGACTACAATGCAATCAAACAAGGTTATGGTTCTTTGTGCAAATAGCCAAATTTATGAAACAGAAATTGATACACTACTTACAACTTATCACATACACTTTGTGTCACCAGTTACATAGCAATAAACTGTCTAATTCACTACTACTAATTCTGAATGAAACGCATCAAATCAACACCATGGTACTACCTTGTGTATGTTAATTCTCACCTGTGTGTTTGCATATTCGCCTGATGTTGCTAGGGCTCTGTTCTTTAGCTTCGTATAACTTTCTTCTAGGAGCTGCTCAAGTTTAAAGGCTCTCAACTTGGCCTTCTCCACGTCATACTGGACATCATCCATTAAGTTGGTCAGCTCTGCTACTCTGGTCTCTGCCGCTAGCAGTTGATCAGTTTTCTCTGTGAACTGAAAATGTGAATTATCATAATATATTCAAAAGTTGAACAAGTAAATCGTTATTTTATTTTAAAATACTTTTTTTGCAGTTGAAATTATATTTTTTTATTATTATTATTTTTTTTTTTTTTTTTGTCAAGAGGTTTCCACCATGGTTTCCTCTTGAACAGTTTGTCAAATTTTCTACATAAATAAATATATAAATATGAGTGATTAAATGTAATACTGATACTGGTACAAATAGCCATCTTTAGTAAGACATTTGGGAGACAGACTTGTTATCATTTGCTGGATATTGCATTTGAAATGTAAACATTTTGAAGTGGAAAAAACTAGCTGTAACATTGTTACTGTCATACAGGGCAATAATGTATTAATATCAGTAGAGTAAGAATACAGAATTTAACAATAAAGATTAGAAAAGCCAAAAATTATAAATATGAAATACCTTGAGGGTGGTCACATGATGTTTTGCTTGTAGGTCAGACACTAATGTCCTCAGTCTTTTGTTTTCTGCTTCTAGGTCAGCATTGACACCAATAAAGATTTCCTCTTTGTTTTCTTCAGCTGTGATTACAATACATCAATTTAAATATTAGATATAGCTCTTGGTCCTGTATGTGCATAATGGCCCCAGGGAACAAAAAAAAACTTTTCTAAAGATGTAGGAGATTAATCCCCAGTGCAATGATAAATTTTTTTATGTTTATAAGTTTATAATCCATACATTACTTTACTGGGATGTACATTATTTTCTCCAGTGTAATGACAAATTTATGAGGTTTATAAGTATAAGTTTATAATCCATATATTACTTTTCTGAGATGAAAGCTCACTATACAAATGCTCAGGTTGTAGTGTAGATTCTTAAATTAGTATATTATTGCAATTATATAATTGTCTAAAATGCTAATATACCTTATTGTATCATTCCAGAAAGAGTTAGAATAATGGTAGAGCAAATGAAACAAGAAACTACAGTACATTATATGATGATAAATTCATTAAAATATTGTATATAATTATTTTAATTTGAAGTTTACTTAAGATACATTTTGACAAAGAAAAACAGTATATGAGTACAAAGAAAAAAGAAAATAAATAAATTATAATCTGATATAATACACATAATTTGAAAGTAAGGAGGAAAATTGTATAGTGTATATTCACTTAATGAGGTATATATAACTGTTCTTATACAAGAAAACTGGAAATACTTTAAATATATTGAACTACTCTGTCACACTCACTAAAAGTCTATTCTGTAAACTGTGACAAGTAGTACAAGTTAAAACTAAATATGATAATATCACTTACCTGTACCACCCTGTAATTTCCACACCAGCTTCTCATACTTCTGCTGGACAACGTCAAATGCCTTCAGGAGATTGGCAACTACCTTCTTGGAGAATTGACACCTGTCTAATAACAGCTGATCAATTTCACTATGATCACAAGTCATGAGTTCTGCAAGGAAGCTTGATATTGATCGATTTTCTAAATGGAGGAACAAAATAAGAAATGTTAAAATTGTTCGAAGGAAATTAGAAGATAAAATATCAAGTCAAATTAAAATCAAATCAAATATTGTTTAAAAATATCGTCCTTGTAGCTTTTCAGCTAAAACTGACTGATATATGACATAAAATGAACACAACATGGTTACATTACAACTATGATAAATAACCTACAAATTGAACTTAATCTAATTATGTAAATTACAAAAATGCAAATTGAAAAGATGAATTAAGTAGAAAATTAATTTTAGGATATTATGAGTGGATATGGTACACTATAAAATACATTCTAAAATAAGTATACTGATTCTCATAATTTTACATCTGATTTAGTATATACTATATGTGTGTGCGAGTGTATGAAAATAGAGACACACTATACTCCTATAGGAAATAGAAGCCATAGAAGCCATAATTTTGTTCAAAGAATGGCCTTTAGCACTCCAGGCTTCATGCTATTTTTTTCAGGAAATAATGGCTCCTTCAGCCTCAGAGAATAAATATAATTACGTACTAATTGAAATATTTGTTTGTTTATTATTTCCGCATTGATCGGCTGAGACACAAAGCTAACACCATTCCTATTTGCTTTGCACAGGTACAACATTGGCAGGGAATCAATTTATGACTTAAAAAGTTGGTAATTCATTAAACACTTGAATTGTTATGTTATTGTTTAAATGCGACATTAAATTGTTATTATTCGCTTTTCAAAATTTTCTCACAGACAATACATCTTTATGGTTCTGTCCACAATATCAAATTGTATGTGAAAAATCTGTGATATTCCCACACCAGTCACTCATCGCAAAAATTATTTTTTAGTTATTAATACAGCGTTAAACAGTAAAATGATAGCTATACAGTTACAGGAGTTTAAACATACAGCTGTTTAAAGAACAATATTTGAGAAATCAGCCTTCAAAGTTTTCGAGTTCGGGCATTTCTTAGGCAGAAACCATCACCAAATTGTTAAAAATGTTTATTTTAACATTGAAAATGGGGAAAATAACAGCAAAACTTGATGTACAGATATATAAAGGTTAGTTTAGTGCAATAAAATAGATTTCCAAAATTTGGACATTCCAGCATGCTTTGGCCATTACCACTGAAACAGGATGTGCAACGAGTGACTGGTTGGGCTTGTCTTTGCCACATATATTGGCAAGATGATGTAATATTGTACACACAAATATTAGCATGTCATATTTAGTTGTCACATAAAATTGAATGTGTGAACAAAACTGAAGAATGACTAAGATCAACATTGACGAAAAAATATCACCTTTCATTTCAAGTTCGAGATTTTTTTCTTCTTCAATCTTTTTCTCAGCATCTACTTTTTCATCCTCTTCTGTTTTCTCTTCTCCATCTTTCTTTTCATCAATCATTTCTGCATTCATTGTAAACTGTTGTACAAGTATTTTAATGTCTTCATCAAGCTGCAAAAAATAACATTATCAATATACAATAATTACTTATTGGTTGATTACTACCAATCAGGGTATTATAATAATAAACTTGTATTAAAATCAAATGAAACAGAGTAGAACAGTAAATAAAAAATATAGGCACATATATCATATATGAGGCTTGCCATCACAAAGCCAGTGTATTGTCACTAAAGGTTAAACTGAGAATGTGGCAGTATTGTCTACTTTAGTACAAAGAGGCCATAATACTCATAACTTTGACAATAGTAGGTTGATTTCAAGTAAATGACCCATCATTTTAAAGCTTATAAAATGGAGAATATGAATACTGTATATTCAAAAGTCAATTTTCTTGTTTTGGTCTTGTTTTGGCATGGCAAGAACCATATCATCTTGTATTTTTCTTCAATACAATTTCGCCATTTATAATTTGGATTTGATGACAAATTTGAGGATGATGATGTGACAATGATGTTGACAATGATAACAACGATGACGACAGTAATGATGCTGATAGCTTTGACATGATATTCAACCTGGTATGGAGAAGCCATTAGTGATACATAAACATGTAAATAGATTCTTTTTCATAGAAAAGGTATTCTCTCCAACAAAACTCAAACCTAAGACCTTCCAATTGCCGTTTGGTTGCTCTACTAATTGTGCTACGAGGCCAAGCTGGTATTTTCCCTTGAATTTTATAATATAACAATAATTTTAATAACTATAATATGCAATTACTTTCAATCACATCATACAAAACATTGCTTAGATTAAGACTTCCATAAGTGGTTTATAAAGATAGCTTTTTGGTGATGATCTGCATTTTCATCTCTCATTTGCATAAAACCCACTTGTGTCCAGTAAAACCCACCTGTGTCCAGTAAAACCCACCTGTGTTCAATAAAACCCACCTGTGTCCAGTATTTATTGACCATACCAAGGAGACTCTCATCCATGCGCTGCCTCTGCTGTAGACTTTCAATGCGATTTCTAAGTTCATTTTCCAGCAGTTGACGTTGTTCCAACCTATCCATTAGCTTCTTGTTCTGTACCTTCAGCACCTTGATGTCTAGTTCCTCCTGGAAGTTCGATAAGAAGAATACCATTATTATTAAAATTAGGTTTGTCTCTCTCCACCTATGAAAAATGGGTACATATTAAGATGTGAATGATTTTAAACAAAATCGGGAAATAGCTGCTCAACTAGAGATAATCTCTCAAGGGAATGGAGGTCTTTGGAGGAAGTTGCAGATATGCTGTTCTGCTGAAGCCGTTTTAGCCATCAATTTTACCGGTAAAAATAACCATCCAACCAGCAAAAATTTTAAGTTTGTAAAATAAAAAAACTACTGATTGGGCCTATATAGTCTAGGCTGCCTCTTTCAATAACTTGACATCATTCCAAACTATGCCTAGGCTATGAATATATCTGTTGTTGTTTCTTCAAGTCATTATAACCCCACTCAAAAGGGGTAATGCCTGCCTCACATTGCACGCTTTGCTGAATTTTCATGGAAAAATTTATCAGTAAAAATGTTTCTTCAATTGGGAGAACACTGAGATTGTGTATGATTGATTCAGTATACAATAGTCAGGAAAAAATGCTGTGCGTAATTCTTTCAAAAATGGGTATATGCACTACATAAGAAAACAAAATTGATAATTAAAAAATTAACTATGGAAATTTGACATGAAGCAGTGAATGGTTGAGTTAGACGTAAATAGACAATGACAAACTATGTTTAGGCATAGTAGAACAATATCAAATACAGTGCTGGTAATGGCTGAGATATTTTAGTAATGTTAGCAAAATTATAACCATTCTTTGAATGAAAAATTTGATAACAAATAGCACTGTGCACGCCATACAATAACATAATTCAATAACAATCCAATTGACACTTACCATAGATGAAACTGGCCCAATTTGGGTTGGTTCTATGTGAAACTTTTTGGTTGGAGGTTCTTCTGAACTAGAGTTGGATGACCCCTGCCCAGTGTCCTGAGCTGCCTCTCCAGCTGTTCTTTTACTTGCCATTCTGTCTGGTTATGAGAAATAAAAAAAAGACCTAGAACCAGGGCTGGAATAAGGGCATAACCGGCATTCGAAGGCATTGACCATTACCCCGGAGGCATTTTAGAAAAACAATTTACACATCACAATGTAATGCATACCGGTAATTAATTTTGATATTTATGCTTGCTCCAAACCACTAAATGTACTACTGTTTAGCTATAATAGTGTAAAGATAACATTTGGTGCTAGAGGCATTCGATCAAGATAATTTTCATGCTCGGAGGCAAAAAAAACATTTTTTCTAGGCCTGTCTAGAACATTAAGGAATGCATATAAATTTTTACTTTTTCATGTATTTTATTTTTACTTCTTTTATTTTATTTTAACTTCATTTCATCAAAGTTAAAAATGCCAATATTTTGCCAACAGGAAAAATTACACACAATAAACATGCACACAAAATGCACTCAATAAATCAAGCCTTGTTATGAAAGTTACCTAGGCCTATGGAGTTGTTTCTGGTTGTTAGAAAAATCCTGCTCTAACTTTTTGATGAGACTCTTATGGAACTGGTGAAAGTTTCTATCTAGGCCTATACATATTAGCCAAGCCCTATATTCTATTACTACTATGACGTTATAGGCTTACTTCATTATGCATTTAAGCCTTGTCTATCTAGGCCTAGTACTAGCCTAGCTAGAATCATCCGACCTGCAGAAATAAGCCTAGCTAGGCTAGGCCTAGCTAGTTAGTAGTAGAGGCCAACATTTAATCGAGCCTAGGTGATCATTTGCTAATATAAATGTTAACATGAAACATATTTAGAAACAAATATAGTCATTATAATAGTATATAGTCCGTCATTACCTAGCTAAACAACCACAATCTATAAATTAATAGATATTTAAACGCTGTAATTTCATTGTGACCGCTCAAGTTGACTTGACCCGGATGAATAATCGGAGTCAGAGAGGTCAGTTATAGACTGATTAAAGAGCGAACACTACGAACTTACATGATTTACGGTACATTACAACAAACATTGAGCCGCAGTAACGTTTCATACTTTACATAATTGGACAATGGGGGAGAGAGAGAGAGAAAAAAAATAATCTAATCTCTGCGACTCGACGACGTCCGCCGTTCTTATGAATATTTATCATTTTTTGAAAGTATATACTACTATTAACTTAAGTGAAAGCTTCATAATTCTCTGTAAACAACTCCAATGGGTGACCACGAAGACCTCGATTATAATCCACTGTACAAAGCTCTTCAGGTTAGACTTTTCTTCAAACACATTAGTATTTATAATAAAAGCCTGCCTAGGCCTATAGATAATAATACAAATTTTGGCAAACAAAGCCAATGAAGCAAAGCTTCTCGCTCCTCGGTGTAGACGTGTAGCAGTAGGCGTGCAGTAAAATTAGCCACAAGCTAGGGCCTAGGCTAGACTCTAGGCTAGGCCAGATCTGCAATGAAAAGATTAACTTAATTTGATGCCGCTAACTAAGCTTATGAAATTAAACTAAACTGTATTATTAAGCCCCTATCTATACTATGAACAAATTAGATAGACATAAGGCCCTAGGTAGGCCTGTAGTCTTAGTTAAGTTAGGCCCTAGAAGTAGTAGTAAGTAGGTGTTAAATTACATCATATTTTCAGTGTGTTGCCAGACTGCAAAAAGCCTAGGTCTGTGCGGGAAATATATCCTTCCTCCATACAAAAATTAGGCCTAGATAGAAATCCATCTGCTCATTTTGGAAAATAAGAATCGATTTTCATGCAGATTTTGCCAAAATAGTAGGATTTTACCTAATCTTAATTTAAAATATCATCCGTGCAATTAAAATAATACTGTAAGTATGGATGTGTTGTAGGGTCGTTGCAAATTTCTATTTCAGTCTGTAGTGTCATTAAAATGAAACATTAATTCTTTTCATTTGTATGGGTGTGCCTACAGCGCTTTGCCTAATTAATGTACAGTAGTACAGTATCTACTGTTGTCGATCGATTAGTACATCACTATATATTTATAGTTACTGTAAGCATTAAAATATACTTGATTTAAAGAGGGTTCAATACATTTTTTGTAAACGCAGGTAAAAGTATATATTTTGCAGGACCTTGAAAGTCATATAGAATGACTTTGGGTATGGAAATTATTGGGTTTTTTTTTGTACATTCCAGTCAGTGTGTCACAGTAAAAAAAAAGTTGTGTTGAGATCAAGGTTGTTACATTTGTTCTCCAACTAACACAGATGAGCTATTTTTTGAGTATTGTTATTTCATTTAATTTATTAATTTTTTGGTATGTTTTTGAAATAGGTAACGTTCTCAACAAAAATTAGATGGGGATCTGGAAATGTTATTACTGTATTGAAATTTTTGTATCCCACTGTGCACAAAACCTGAATAATAATAATATGTGGCGAAGACGAGCCAAGCTAGTCACTTCTTGCGTATCGTGTGTCGGAGATAATGACCAGAACATGTTTGAATGTTAAAAGTTTTCAAAATCTTATTTCATTGCACAAAATTAAACTTTCTGTATACATTGTTGTTATCGAATTTTGAATGATTTGGTGATGGTGTCCAACTAAGAAATGTCCAAAATCAAAAACTTTATAGGCTGATTTGTCAAATACAGTGCACCTTCCAATTCGAGACCCCTCTAAAATTCGAGACCACTTTTCCAAAGAACCAAATAACAATCTTCAACCCTTTAACACAAAGCTAGCCCTCTAATTGGAGACCAACCCCGAGTCCACCGTAAATTTTCAGTAAACAGCTGTATATTTAAACTCCTGTAACATCAAAAATGTTGTAAATGTTGGATTTAAATTATTCTTTCACCAGTTATAACTTGTATTTTACTGCTGAACCCAGTAATAATAACAACAAAATTAATCCCTTTTTTTTTGTGAGATTGACTGGGTTAGCTGGCCTTTGCCACAATGATAATGATGATTTATTAAAGTAGCTAGCCTTGGATATTATCGTGTGTAGCATGTTAAGAAGGCTTATTAACCAGATTTCCAGGAAGTATTTCTCATAATATTTTTTAATCCTTTCGTATAATATCCAGAAATAAAGACCCATATTACTTCCTTTACGTTTTTTTTTTTTAACCTTAATACAGACTAACACTCACAATATAACCAATGACTATGTAATAATCTACACTTCAAAATAGTACAGTACTCTGATAAGATGTGTACCAGGTAAATGTTTGCTTGTAAGATATGAGGTTCATCATAGTATAGAATAGAATCCGCTGTTTGATCAAATGTCTATTTTTAACTATGATTTGATCAAGGTTGGTAACATGCGATAATTTGTGTGTTTAAAGATAGCCATTGGTCACTTAAGGTTATTACAGTTAGGTTGAATATTTAGTAATAATATTGTTCTGGCTCGTCCTTTTCTTGCATGCTTCTTACACCCTGTGACATCTAAAACAAAGTATGGATATCAATCTTTTTCTGCCAGTGCACCATTATTTTGGAGCCAGCTCCCAATATTTATTAAGGAAGTACTGTACATTCTTGACTATTCACCAAATAAAGCATTTGTTCACTATTTAATTTGTCTGTTTATAATCTTCACATTTATGTGTAAAAAATAGCGCTCTGAGAGATGATTATAGGCTTAGAGGGTGGTATATCAAAAACCTATATTATTATTATTATTATTATTATTATTATTATTATTATTATTATTATTATTATTATTGTTATTGTTATTATTATTATTATTATTATTATTGTTATTATTATTATTATTGACTTTAGAGTTTCACAACCAAAAGAAAAACCCTAATACTATATATAGATATGAATACAATTTGATATGATGTTAACCTTTATATTAAATTGTATTGGAGTTTATCATATTTTTGAATAGTTATGCTATAGACAAATCCAAGAGAACGTTTTTCAACGTCGCCCTCTTTTGTCGACGCCATTACTGGGGTGGCATTTCCGAAGTCAAAAGATGTCTAAATACACGAAATATATAACTTTGATAAATTTTTAGTTTGAAGACTGATGGCATTATTCAGCTGCAAAATAAAAAGCCGGATTTCTCAATGGTACTGTGTTTATAACCACACCACATTAAAATTTTAGGAGTAGGCCTGGGAGTAGGGACTCCCCAGTAATGGCATCGACAAAAGAGAGCGCCATTCTTCTTGGATTCCTCTATACTTGAAATTTTAGTGTATTCTATGACGGATTGTATCTTCAAGTGTTAATTACCAACAATTAAGCTCCACATTATCAAATTTTAATGAAAAGTTGTTTGAATTGCCCATACATGGGCATGAATATGTCATATATTATATTCATATATTATGGGCATTATGATGTAATTGTACTGTATATTATAAGAGTACCCATGTCACATAAAGTTTTGATATTGTGGATATGAGCTTTGCTCTCATTCTCATTTTTAAAATTGTATTACAGTATGCTAATAGCCCTACAGTAGTTTATAATATTGTATACTTTCTATTGTCTTTGTAGACAAAGTACTGGGAGAAATTCTCCAAAGCACAGGAGAATTGCTACCTGATATGCATCCCACAGGCAGCCTCTCTTGCAGGCGTGATCATCAATCAAGCATTTGTAGGTAAGACTAACCATCTTTATATACTGTATTGAGGTCAAGTGATGACTTACTGTATTGTATATTAAGACAATGATAAACGAGACAATACTCTGAATGACTACCATACAGTACACTACTGCATTATTCAACGCAAAGCAAGGTCCATACACATGGTACTGTATTCAAATTAGGTACTCAATTCAAACTGTCACATAATCGTTGTACTGGTACTGATAGACATCCTTTGCTGTTGTTTGAGTGTTTAATTCTGTGATAAAATCAATGATAATAATAATTAAATAACTTATTTGGTACCCTTCCAAAAGAGACAGCACTGTATACATTAAAAACATAGTTATTGATGAACATGTAAAAAAGGTAAAGTAAATCATTAAAATTCAGGTTTAAAAGAGCAATGAAAGCATCGTACCTAAAATGATTGTCCTTTTGATTATTTAATCAGTAAAAGATTATTTTTTGTACAATCATGTTTATTATTACAATACACTGAATTTATTTGTAAGAACAAAATTAAATTGGCAGTAAAGAATGCAGATTTTCTGGGGTTTTAAGACATTATAGATATGAAATGGACTTGAACCAACTCAACAGTGATTTAATACATTCCAATTTTTTTGTTTATTATTATTTTATTAAAAATTCAACAAAACTATCCAAGAGGAAACCTTGGGCCAAGGGCCAAACACACAAGTAGGAACCTCTTGGCATAAAATATAATACAATGTACAATATGTAAAATCAGTACAGAACACCATGGTAAACATTTATAATACATTAAAAATCACTATAAAATAAAAAATTAATTAATTAATTTAAAAAAAAATTAAATAAATAAATTTATTCCTCCACTCACCATTAAAATTGTATCTTTGGTGCTGTGGCAAGCTTTTACTTTATTCTAAAACTTCCTTAGCTTCTTTGCTTAACTTTATATTGTTTTTTTATTAAGCAATACAAATATTTAAGTTTTTACGTCTCCATATATATTGGCCTAAACATTAAAAGTCTATCACATTAAAATTAATTTAAAAACTTCAACATACAGTATTTACTACGTACAATAGAATGCAATGAGCATTTCAACCAATATATAAAGTGGTAAGTGACATTTTTTTTCTTATCTTGTCTAGATACCCATGTACTGAAGCCATCCCCAATGTTGAAAGAGTAAGTACATACTTGAATGTTATCAAGTCTCGACATCGATTATGAATGCCATGCAGACTTGACCTATGTGACTTTTGTGTCTGGAATTTATGCACCAATCTCAAACCTTCACTTTAAATATTTGATCATCCTCCCATAGATGTTATAAATGTAAAAAAAATCCTACGTTCCAATTCTGCAATTGGTTGTGATCTAATACTCAATTTTCTTTAACATTAATAATGATAATTTTTTATTTTTTATTTTAATTAGTTTTATTTATTTTGCAGTCATTATATAAGCACAGACAAAACTGAGAGTAAAACAATTATTGTAGATGAGGACTTTGTCCTAGTGACAGAAGGGTTTAAGAACAAAGGTCGGATTAAGGTCTTGTCTGAAGAATTGGGCTATAACAAGGTAAATATATGTCAGAGGCTGTCGTATGTTTAGAGTTTAGATGGTTTGTTTTGTTTGTGTCAATAGATAAGACACTCTACTTACATCCTCCTTCAGATGCAACATAACCGTGATATGCCAATATTTGGGTGTAATATGACATCATACCTATACATGGTCACATCACACATGTTGTCACAATTTGTGTGTGGGCGAAAACCATAGGCTTAGCCAGCAAGCCGTCTGGCCTACTTTTTGGACGGCCTACAATTATTTAGGACGGTCACTTTTACCGTGACGGCTTGGACGGCTTGTCCTAATCAGCTCGGCCTAGCCGGCTTGGACAGCTTGTCCTAATCAGCTCGGCCTAGCCTAATTGGGCCTGGTCTACCTTTAGCAAATTCTTTAAAATCTATCAAATGTTACATTAATCTAAAGCTAAATTCTATTTACGTTTGATAAAAACAACATTTATTAATTGAATCTTCGTTGTTTTCATACCAATATTCGGTGTGGATTCCCAAAGATGGGCGTGGTCTGCCCATTGGCTCAGTGCCACGCCCACTGGCTTCCATTTTGGACGGCTATTTCGTTTTTCTGGCTAAACCCCTGGCAGAGACTGAAATATCATCCCTTAAATATAAGTATGAAGTTGGTGCACTGTTACAATAGAGAAGAGAATTATTATCAAATGTACTGATCATATCACCATCGTCTTGTTTTAGATTTGTACATTTAATAGGTTTTAAAATGAATGCTTCTATTTTTATCTTCGGCCCTTTTTTCAGCCCGAATAAAAATGGATGAAATTAATTTAAATAATTGTCTAACTTATTATATTGGAAATTCCACCTGTGAATGAGCTTCGATAATGTCAAATTAATATTATATACCCAACCTGTGAAAGTGAAACTAAGAATTGATCAGTGTATTATGTACTAGTGACGTAGTCATACTAAAAATGCTTACATACTCCCAATTAACAAAGTGCCAGAAGCCCTGCATGGCTGAAGGCAATTTTCAAAGGAAATACTGTAATGGCTCCTATGGCTTCTATGTAATGTCCGAAATAACTACATAATTTGTTTCTATGGACAGTCACCATGTTTTATATAGCACTTTTAGGTTGTAGCAGTGACCAGTTGCTTAGTGATATGAATGATCGGTTCATTAGCTGCATATGTGCAGATCCACATATGAGAATGATATACTTGAACTCTTGCATAAAACAAGAGATCTTTGTTTCCGTACTAAAATATAATTATTTTTTCACGTAACAGGTGCAAAGAGGGAATATGTATTATACGCTATACAAATCCCGAAACATTACCATTAATAAACCATCGAAAAATATATTGTATCCAAAATTTTTATTTCAGGATTATAAGCCTTTCAAGATATTGATTGTACAGAAACCACTCGAGGGGGCAGTTAAAGTAAGCAATATAAAGAATGCACAAGCCTTAATTCAAACACCACGTGAAGGTGATTGTAAACAGTAAATAACTGTTGTATGATAACCATCATAAATTATATAAACAGTCCATCCAGATGCACATAAATCCATCAAATTCTATAGATACTGCCTAAATTTAAGTAGGATTTTTTTTCAGTATCTTTATCAGGATAAATATAATTATGTATATAAAACAGCTTGACATAATAAATTGAGATAGCGAAATGAGGGGATTATTGCACTTTGAAATAGTTAAAAACATAATTAGTACACCAATTATAGATTACAGGTCATCAGACTTGGATATAGTATTTACACTTCTTATTGTGTCATCTTCTGAAATAGATTTATATGACTAATAGTATATCATTGTTAATTTACATAAGTAAGTCATACAAAATGGAGCATTGCACACATGATTAATAAAGTTTCTGCTAAGCCTAGAGGTAGCAGATTAATTGATGGAATTTATTGTATTGTGTTTTTAACATGACTAAAATGTTTTTTTTTTCATATTTCCAGGGAAGGAGAGGTTCAGCTGGGCTTTCAGATGACTTTCTGATACCTAGGAACTCATATGATGAGTATGTGTGCTTATACTGTATATTCTTAGAACCTTCCTAGGTGCATTTATTACAATATTAATCAATTGCTAAGCCAAAAATGAAAACCCAAGCCCAACTTACCCTTACAATTGCAAAATTGTATAAATAAAATAAAATAATTTTTTACTAAGAATGAGCCCAATATACATGTATGATGCTTCAAAAGGTTACTTTTCAAGCTTTAAATAATACCTTTGATATTTTATCGTGGATTTTCTCTGTGGCTACCCTTTTGCCTAGTAAAATGCTTTAGGGGAGTGATGGCTGCCACTGAACCATAGGGTTAGCCTAAGCCAATAGAAAAAGTTACCAACTGACAAACCCCTGATTTCCAAATGTTACTGTTAATAGGAAACACAACAATTTGTTTTACCTAATTACAATTAATAAGAATTATACTCATGATTCTGATATAGAAGTTTTAATTACATAAATTGTGATAATTGGTGTGATTTGAATTTTACCCACAATCTTTCATTGTAGGAACTGTCGTCTGCTCTCCATGTTTCCTGAGCATCAGCAACAGTTGAAGCAGTTGGATGAATCGATCAAACAGTTCAACTCAAATTACCTTATCGTCAAGGGCTACCTTAACCATGCGGCTGAGAAGCTTCAAGAACTTACGCAGCAACATACAGAGGTATTTGATAGGATTTTTTTTTCCAGAATGTACTTGTTTAGTTGAAAAAAAGCACTTTTTGGAGTCAAATTCCTAATTTGTTTTTGTATTTTATTAATTGATGAAGTAATGAGGGTAAGCACACAGAGGCCTTGGTTTTATGCCGTATTAGTTTACGATCCCCTACTGGGGAACTTATTTTATTTATTATATAAAAATATAGGCCTTATACACCAATTTTTTTAACAACCATTTAAACTGTGATAATCACTTTACTCAGATATAAGCACAACCAAACCTCTCCCCTACCCAACAAAAAATTTCGGCCAATTTTGGAGTTTGGCTTATGCCCAAGGACTCACTCAGTATATTATTTTTAATGCTAAACCTCTACAATTAATTAATTGGCTTTATACCTGGATGAAGCGTCTTCCATAAAAGTTGCTTCAAAATTGGGTGGTGGGTTATCAATAAGAATCAAAAATCCATTGACAATTTTACACAATTTGTTGATGTTAATCTTTCACAGACAATCTTAGCAAACAACAAATACGTTAGGCTTCAATCTGATACAAGATTAGGAGATGTGTTGTCTATAGCAGTAGAAAGGTACAGTAATAAAAAAAAACATCATATTCTGTTATTAGAAACCTCATTTTTGAGCATACATATTGGTGTGATCAGTACTATAAATGTCCAGAGTTGTTTAATTTGCATATGTCCAGGCTTTATTTTTTTTTAAACAAATGTACATGTTGAAAATGTTATTCAATGCTCATTTTTGACTTGTTAGTATTTTTTTTGTATTGCTTGTTATTTTTTCATTTTTCTTTCTACCTTTTGATGTTGCTCTTTGGATTGGTGATACTGCTTTTTTCCCTTGTATTTTGATGCATAAAATTGTTTTACATTTCTAACCATTTCTTTGTATTGTTGTCTTATGTTTATGAATTTATTAACTTTATTATTGTTAATAACTACTCTATATTGTGCTACATATTTATGACATATCATTGTTTTGTTGTCCGTAGCTATGTGACGGGAGGGGTTCATAGCAAGTTATTTGCTGCCGTCTGTCTAGAATGTCAAGAAAAAGACAAGATATTAGCCTCTAAAATCCAGCAACTTCAACATGTGTCTGCAGAGGATCTTGGTATATCAGAACACTTCTGCTGCAGTTTACCAGCTGGGGTGAATGAAACTACCTTTTATTCTTAGAACTTGACTTCACACAGTGTTAATTTCCATATTACTTTTTATTCTAAACTTCTTACTTCACAAAGCATTAATTTCCATATGTATTTTCTCTAGATCTTGAGTCAAGGATTTTAGTTAATTAATGTCGATGATCTGTAGAGTGTCAGTCCTATGTAAAAGTATATGGAATTGGTTTCATTTATTGAGAAGAAGAGTAAGAATTAGCTAATAATTTCAGTTCTTTTGAATGATTTACAAGTATGTTCAAGTTAGAGTGTTGATTATAGGATGTTTTACTTTCTGTAATGTACTCTGAAGATGTACTCTGTCGTGAGTTATTAACAATAGAAGAATTAATCAAGGGATCTTTTTTATAAAAACAAGACATCAAATAAAATCACAACAAAATTTAAATGAAAAAACTGAATTGTGAAAAAATGTTCAGTTCAGTTGCATATTTGAATTACCAAATTCAGTAAATTTAGTTTAGTAAGTGATTTACAAATATGTTCAACAACAAACAAATTAAATTGTTGATTACAGGAGACATAGACGGACATGTAATGAGCTAAACAAAATTGAAAAATTCAAGTCCATATTTGAATTGCATAATTTGTATTTATGTATGTTATTAACTTACACTTCAATTGAAAATTTGAATAAGCAAAAAATTCCTATCAATTTACTACAGTTAAATAATATCTCTTGATACTTTTTCAGAAGGTTTAGCTTAGCAGAAATATATGGCCCAGTTGTCATGATTTTGCTTGCCTTTCACAGGTCGTTGAACTAGCTCGTCTTGATGGGATCAACAGTCCACGGGAGAAATTAGTCTGTCTAAAAACTACCCTGGTGAGCCACTCATCATAATCATTATAATTTAATCAACCACTACTTTGTTTATAAACCTGAGACCAGATACCAATTTATTGTTTCCTATTCAGATATGCTATTTCATTTGAATGCATTTATAGCAATAATATGAGCCAAATAGGGCAATATTATGTAATAATATAATATAATAAAAATAATATTTTGTTAACTGCTTGTAGTACACCACATAGATGGTTCTGAAATGAACTGTTATTTTTCTTAAGAATGTCTTGATGTTCTATTGAGTTGCTTCAATCGTCATCAGTGATAATATTGTTAATAATAATATATATATAATATATATATATATATGTAATATATAATAATATCACTGAATTTTTATTTATCCATTTATTTATTTCTCTAGTTTATCTATTCATCTGTTATGTCTACCTGATCATCTCTTCATATATCTAATACATAGCTACATTTTCCCATTTTGTTGTAGGATGTTATCAATGAAGAGGTAACGGCACATCTGAATGAGAACTTGGCGCCAGGTGAGACACCACTGTGCCTCACATCAGATGAACTAATTCCGCTCGTGGTGACTTTGGTTGCCAAGGGCAAGTGCAACCGTCTGGCCAGCAATCTCTACTATATCGAACACTTCAATTGGATCAAGTCTAAGACAGATGATTTAGGGTGAGTATCCTGCACTTCAAAATGTATTGTATTTATTGTTTTATAATAATAAATAATAATATTGGAATTTATACCATATCAATTAAACAACCGATGTTCATACTTAGTTCTTAGACTCATTGCTTTTTAGTTGTCATTTTCATTTTATTTATTCAATAAAATACATATAATGATACATAAGTAAATAATGTGAATATACTGGTAAGGGAAAGCTAAAGCAAATTCGCTCTATAACTCGGCTACCTCTCACTAAACTGCTGTAGTATAATGTTTTGCTTTCCTTTCTCATGAAACAAAATTTGTCATTCATAATTCAATAAATTTCTTCATACCTTCATTCATTCATTCATTTGCTCACTCATTCATTCATTCATATATTCACTCATTCACACATTCACTCATTCATTCATTATATGCCAAACCTAAATCAGACAGCAAGATGGTATGGATTAACCATAGTTAAGACAGTCTTTCCAACCTTAGAAAAATATTACTAATGTGAGAGAAGAAGAAAAAGAGAAGAAAAGGCAAGAAAAAGACAAACTAACCCTCAGTCATCACTTTAATGATCAAACATACTTAACTACAACTAAATATAAAATTATAACTAAACAAATTATAATATATACTACTGCCGAGCTTTTTTGAACTTAATATGTAATTATTTTTAATTATTTATTTTAACTTTTACACATAAAATACAATTTAGTAAGTAAATTTATGTTTTTGTATGTTGTTTGTGTGCCACCTTTTCTCAGAGAATTAAGTTATACACAGTTAGCTAGCACTCTGAGACTTTATTGTATACAGTGCTTTAAAAATGCTTTTTTATTATTATTATTATTGTTATTATTATTGTAGGTTTAGTCTTGTAACTTTCAATGCAGTGAAGGAGTACATACTGACAACTGACTTCAGCAAAACAGCATCACCAAAACCAAAGCTAAAGAAGGAGGTTGGTTTTGTTCCTCTTTTCTCTAGTTTTCTACCATCATGCAGGTCCTTGGCTGCCTACTTCTCCGCTGGCATCTGCCCTCCACTCTTCTCTTCATTTTCACATAAGGATTCATATCCTTAAGATTGTCCATCATCCCTATCCTCTTTCTTCCTCTTTGTTGTTTCCTTTCCATTCGACCCTCTATGACATATTTACACAAGCTCACTCCCCTTAAAACATGACTAATCCAATTCTTTCGTCTAGTAACTGACATTGATACTTATTTTTCTTCTATATTGTTCAGTACCTCATCATTAGTTCATTGACATTCTATAATTGGATATCAATCTTTTTTTTTCCTTATCCTCAATTTTTGTATCTTTCTATATGATGCATTTTTTTATTTTACTACATTTTATTTACATTATGTACCCTTTTCTAATATCATAATTTCTCACAAAAAAAGGAGGTAAGACTTTACACTGCACAAATGCACTTCCTGGTTACCATTTAGTTGCTCTATCAACTGATGTATAGGCCTAATCTGGTATAAAAATGTGGATGATATTATTTTCTCAAAAAACTATATTCACGCTTTGCTATATTCACGCTTTTCTATATGGTTTTAGATGAGTATCAAGGAGTTAATGATTGCCCAGAAGACATTGAATGAGGTAGGTCCCTCCACAAGCCTTGGACCATCAATGCCAGCTAGAACCCTGGAGAAACAGTTGGAGAACATCTCTAAGATGATGGAGAACACGAAAGTGACACCAAACTCCAGAGTTGCCATGAGGTCGTTGTTTGAAGGTATGCCAACACCAATGCTTGTTGTTTGTTCTGTGTCAATTACTAAGCACCTCATTCTTATTTCGATGCAAGTACTTCATTCTTTTTCTTTATTCATGTCCAATTAATTATTTTATGCAGTTACCTTGAAATACCGTAATTGCCATTTTGAAAAAAAGACTAGCGTGACATTTAGTGTTATGCTTATGAATGCTTTCAGGTAACATATTTGTATATATGTAATTTTATCTTTATGAGGTAACAATGATTTAGTGTTATGTTTATGAATGCTTTCAGGTAACATATTTGTATGTATGTAATTTTATCTTTATGAGTTCATTTTATTGGTCATATACAGTAATGAATACAATACATGAAATTTTCTTTCCTGGTGTATTAAAAAGATTATATATTCAAATATAAAATACAAAGCACAGATTGCACAGAATAACATACACTGAAAATATGAAAAGTTTGTTCTAATGTGTAATGTTATGTGCAACGATTTTTATTCCAACTGCCTTAAATTTAGTATGCTATAACAGCATTGTAATATCTTTATATAATTTGAATATATTTTAAAATCTGTATAAATTTTGTATGATGTTATTAAATTTTTGTGAATTTTAACAAATCATTATTTTCTGACACACCTCTTTAATACTTTCCTTGTCTTTCTAGGCTCGGATGTACCTGATCCAGCCTTCAAAAGCAGTGGGCCTCCGCCTGATATCATTCCCATATCAGACCAAAAGAATCAAGGTAGTCAGGCCAATAATTTGGGGTAAGAACAAAATCATGTTGTTATTGTATTCCGTATTTTTTTCAATTACACTCATGTTCACCAAATCATTTTAATCATAATTAATTATGATTGTTAATTAACATATTATGTTAAGTTATTTGTTTATTTAACTGAATCAAATAAGTTACAAATTTCCAATGAGACAACATATTTAAACAATGCATTTATTGCTGATTTACAATTTGTTTAATATGAAATTTTTCATTGATATTGTAATCATTCTGTGATCTATGTTATTTATATGTATGTTTATTTGCAAGTAAAATATTATTTATGCTAAGTTTCATTATAAGTTAATATACAAAGTAAGTTATTCTAACATTTCATTTTATTGTTTGCCACTGTTCTTGAGACTTTTTTTTTATTTTGTTGTACCTTTTAATGGTCTCCACCATATTAAATCTCGAGACAATCCTCTACGTCTCTGCTAATATTCTCTTGTCTTCATATTTTCTTCTTAGTGATTTCCTGTCAACACTTCAGAACGACGTCTTTGGGACGTCTTTTGGCAAACTAAACTAGGCAGCCATCGCAGCGTTCCACTAGTGTGCAGGATATATCAAAATTCCACTAAAAAGCATTCATTTATGAAATAGAATATCAACACAAACTGAAGGTACACACCACACTGTAAAAGACTAAATGCTGGAACAGCCATGTATCAAATATGATGTGTGTAATCAGGAAAGCAGTTCAGTAGCTGTATTAGTCAGTGTATACAAAATGAGTGGGTAGCACTTTTTTGACTAACGATAGATTTTATTTCACAAGCTTTCACCGCAGATGGGGCTTCATCGGGTGTGTGTAATATTTCCTACAACATCCTTGCTGTTCATTATAAATATTTATGCAATATCTTAATTATTTACATTATTTAACATCATTACCAAAATATTTCTCAATATATGTTCATTGTTTCCCCCCCCCCAATTTATTATAGCCAGCGTTCGATTTGCCCAGTATGACATCGCTAAATGAGATGCGTTTTAAACGCGAAACACTTCCACAAATGCATCACAAGAAAATGTGACGCAATTATTTGCCTAGAATTAGCTGCTCAGTCTTCAGTTAGGCCTGGCTGTAAAAACTAAGAGGCTTGGTGCACAAAAAAGTTCCGAAAATTGTTTCGAAAATCAAGTTATCCAATGTTTTGGGCCAAAAATAGCACAGTATACATATGTTTACATCAAGTGCACACATACTATGCTATATGTACATTGTTGTACATGCAGCTGGTTTGAGTACGAGTCAGGCTTCTTTCCTGTGTTTGCAATATTACCACATTTTGCCACTCCCTCGGTTCTGCTTCTCCTGTAGATCGCTTTCACTTACACACGTTTGCACAATGAGGAGTAATGTTGTTTAATGTCATGTATGTACCGTGCTAGAGCGGCACGTCGTGCACATATAGATGTGTAGTATGCAAATTATCTTACTTTTTATCTTGGCGCTGTTACTCCTGCTGTTTACATCCAGTCAGACTCAATGGCTGTCACTGTCATATTAGACAGTAAGGATGAGCCAGTGTTTTAGCATTGAAAAATAAAGGCACATCACATGATTTTTTCATTGAAAAGTGTCATTTCTATTCTTTAATAATCATTCATTATCACCGCAGAAAAAAATGCTATGCACAATTTTGGAATTGCTACACACACAAAAAATGCTGGAAATCGAAAGCTGATTATAGCGACTATTATATTATACCTTGCATTTATTAGTTGTATATATTACAAAAGTGCTCTTTTTATTATTAATCTTAAATTTTATCAACTGTTATATATTTATTAAATTATTGAGAGTTATATGATACATTCAAATATTTAAAATAAATTGAATATTTAAATATTTCAGAGTATATTAACTATAAATTAAAGCAAAATTTTAATGAAAACTTTCCGAACAGTCAAAAAATGCCATCATCCAAAAACTTTCAAGAAATTTTTTCGTGGAACCGTACCACAATGTGTAATATATCTAAGTGTCCAATTTAAATTTGTAGCTACACATAAGATAATTATTTTTATATCCAAGCAGCATGAAGGGCTCAGGATGTTCTTTTTTTTCATGCCTTTTTCTTCCATACTTTCATTGGCTGTGTATGTATATTTGGAATGCGTAAACTGCCAATTTAAAATTTAAAATTAATTTATTATAGATGTGTGGATTTGGCTTTAAATAAACTCTGTTCACAGAAGCCAAGGATAGGGATCAGACAGCAATAACAATTAAAATTTAATCAATACCTTTTTCTTTCATTATAAATACTGTATATGTACATACATATGTTATGGTTCTATTAAAATCAGACAGAATGGAAGTTGAGTGTTAATATATTGATTCAGTGTATTGATTTGTATTGATCCTATTGACGATGCTTCACATCAACATATGGCTAACCAGCTTTTGTTTTCATGTCAACATCCTTAATTGGCAGAAACAGATTTGATTTGGGGCCCCTCCTTGTAACCAATAGTAGGGGAAAAAAGAAAATTGCATTCAAGTTTAAGTTTAGAGCTCTGTCGACGCTATCAAATTGTATTTGTCAACTAAACTGTTGCATGCCCATATATAGTCATGATGTGCCTATATGTCGGGGTGGGCATAAAAGTTGGTCGGAGGGCCAAAGTAAATTTTTGATTTAACACCGAGGACCACACCCAAACTTTGATGTTTCCAGTGAGCTTCCAAAAACATCCAAGCACTGCTTTTACACTACTTTATTCTCAGTTTTAATGTTACTCTTTTTGCATATGATGGGTGTCGGGCCGTAAATTAGGTGTTTTCTAGCCAATATTGCTTCGTGGGACGCGCATATAGGACTTTGAATTCATTTTTATGGGCTGCAAAAAAAATCACTGTCAGCCACATGCGGCCTGCGGGCCCACCTGTGCTATATATGGTAATGATGTGATGTCATCATTATCATAGTTGGGCATGTTGCATGTTTTTGTCAAATAAAATTTGATAGGTTTGACAAAGCTTAAGATTAATAGTGTCATTTAAAGGTTCCACAGACATAAAATTTCATACTGCAGTCCCAACCATAGTGGGCCTGAGGTAGTCTGGGCCATCCATCTGTCAAATTCCCTCTCCCCAAGCCTCCTCTGTTTTGAAAATTCTTGGATCAGCTTCTGATTGGCTGGATTGCAATTAACTGTGTAAATGTGGCCTGGCATCTAAATACTTGGCATGATGCACCTAATTAATGTTTCATATCACTCAGGTGTGGATCCAGAAATTTTGGAACAGGGGGCAGGGAGACACAACATTTTCAGAACAGTATGCGAGTAGCGCTTATTTTAGTACATCACATTAATATGCATTGAAATTTTAAAATTTAGTGGTAAAACGGGGGGAGGGAGGTGCCCCCCCCCCTTTTACTGGATCCACGCCTGCTACAAGATATAGAATGGAAGGATTTAGTCTTTAAAATATTTATTACGTCAAACTCGTGATGCAAATAACCTCTGATATTAATATTTGAACAATGAATTATAGATTTCATTGGTCAGAAAAATCAATCAAATATATTTACTTGAAGGCCTACATTTAGTTGCCTTGAATTGTTATCTCATATTTTGGTAGAGCTGTAACATTAATATTATAATGTGATTAAATTATTTCAGAAATAACGAACCTACAATGTAGATTCTAGCTTTATCAGCTCCATCGTGTGTGTCCAATAAATAAGTTTGTTGAGATAAAGTGTCTTGGGGTTAGATTTGCGCGAATTCCACACAGGTCTCTGTGGTCTAGCGGTAGGATGGAGGGGTCTAAATAGAGTAGGCCTACCTACCTGAAGATGCACCAGCTAAACTCGCGATATTGGAAGCGGAACGACATTTTAATAAGAAAAAAAGGAGGACAAAGGCTGACTTGGATGTCAGAAATAACAAAGCATTTAAAGGAAATTGGACTCAACTACAATGAGGCAAAACAAAAAGCAGTGGATCGGAGGGTGGGGGTGGGGGCTGGTAGGAGATCGTGACAAACCAGAGGCACCAGTATGGGCTGTAAAGCCCGTTCCTGCAACAGAAGCAAGAACAGTAACTGATGATGACGATGACGATGATCCTCTCTAGAGACGCCTCCTTCATACAAATGAAAAAGAAAATATGAGAAAGAGCTCTCCTTTACTTCATCTGTTCCATTATTCTTATTCCTATTTTTTTAGATTGAAAAATAAAATGATAAAGTTATTATTTTGTTGTTTTACACCATTTTTTAACGAGGAATATCCAACCAGAAAGCTGGTTATCTTAGAGCGGTAGGCTTAAGGAATGTTTTTGGTAGAGAAAAATCCTGACCTGAGGTACGATTGAACCCATACCCCGTGGCCATCGTCCTAAGTTGAAAATGTGAGAAAGTAGAAACCCATTGCTACAGCAACTTTTGCTTCAGTTGATGAAATTATATGGTTTACTTCTTGTGACTAAAACTGTCTATAATAGTGGAGCAATTGTGCCTAATGAACAAGTGATGAAACCGACAGAAGAACAAGCAATATCCGCCATCTTATCACTAATTATTACATTTTCAATTGTTGACAATTTTTCAATGCAAATGTTGTCCAACGTACCTGATATAGGCAGGTGAACTTATAAGAATATATATAAGAGGGGAGTGAGACAATTGGCAATTGGTTGCAAGTACCATTGTGATGTAATTACGGAAAATATTTTACGTTTCTTTCAGATTGAAACGCATAGCATCCTCAACTTTCCAAACACCATTTTAATAAACAACATGTACGCAATAATATCGTGCATTTTTAACAAATAGTAATAAAAGCATGTCAATGAGACACCTTTAATAATAATAATAAATAATAATTTTTAATTAAAAACTGCCGATTTTATACTATAATTTTAATGTTCTTTATTTAAATTGATACTTATACAGTGCATCCTGCAATTCAAGATCCCTCTAATTCCGAGACTCCTCTAATTAAATGACCAATTAACAATCTTCAATCTAACACTAGGCCTATGCTAACCTCTACGCGGAGACCGAACCCTGAGACCATTCCAAATTTTCAGGTCCCAAAGGTGGTCTTGAATTGCAGGGCAAACTGTATAAATATTTCTTGATGTTCTCTCTTGTATATTGTTTGTTAACGTTTCTTTGAATTTTGTGTTTTAATTAATTTTTCAGTACTTTACAAATTGTATCATCCAATAATATAGGCCTACTCTATTTGTTATACCAAGGAACAGTGAAATTTATACTAAATTAATAGTATTAATCAAGATGAAATATATTTAATTTAATTTAATCCAAAAAATCATAATATTTACGTGAAATCGTCAGTTTGGTGTGATTGCACAATTGATTTCCAGCGATAAACTATGTAGGCCTATATTAATGTACACTCGTTTGTTGTTTTCGTTATCCATTTTTGTGGGTCTATGTGGCACCAGGTTGATTCCCACGGCAGTGTTTCTTTGATCCTATTATCCGATTAAACTGCTTGATCCTTTCCAACTATGGATTTATAAAAGAACGAATCAATACTAAATCAATACACCATCATGCGTCACAGACTCCACAATAATTTGAAATGTAACATTTTTTGGACACTATTGCCATTTTCCAGTTTAGTTTGACTGCGTTTATCGCACAGTCGGGCCACAGACTCGTAAGTGTGGGTTAAATAAGGAAATAAATATTTTTTTAATTGTTTCAAGGATCAGCATAAATCTCACGCACATGGCGCTCTGAATTATCGGTAATTATAATATAATTTTTGTACTTTTTATTTATAATATAAAACAATTTATATGTAGCAGCTCTAAATGCCAGAAATAGCATTCTCAGTCTTACATTTATTTTAAAGTGTTTAAATTTAAATATGTTTTTGTGAATCTGTGAGGAAAAATAAGGATACTAGGTGAAGGTTAATTAGCGTTACCATCCTGCCGGGCTTTATAAAGTGATAATAAACAAAGCAGTGATGCTGCTTTCTTCTGCGTTTTTCTCCCGCTTAGTTTAGGCTGCTATATACCTCCACTGGATTAGGACATTATTCAATTAATTTCCATGCTTTAAGTTCCATTTTTTCACGCTCCACCTCCAACGCCCTGAATGCGCTGTGTAGGCTAAATCTTATTTTGAAGGTATATACCAGGCGTGATAACACCCACCTCAACCCCACTGATGTAAGAAAAAGGTATAAAATAATTAGGCATATGTGGGACGTCTATGACTGAAAATGACTTTAGACGATTTTCAAGTGCAGGTGTGGCGCCAGCGGGGGGGCGGGGGGGGGGGGGGGGTCGGAGAGTGCTGCCCCCCCCCCCTGTCGGGGAGAAAAAGCACAATTGGTCGGGGAGAAAATTTTTTTTATGTATTAGTAGACTTTAAAATCGTATAAATAAGCCTTTGACCTCTAAATTGTTAAAATTTACGGGGGCTTCGCCCCCTTGGACCACTTTCGAAACCTTTTAATCGAAGCTCGACCACGCCCACATTGCTTTCGTCGGGGAAATCTGACCCCTCGTATTATAGGCCTGTTTGTCAGTACGCCTATATTCAAAATTTATTGTACAGCGGATGAGTGTAGTACTTTGAACTATTGTATGCTCTGGACAAAGCAAGCTACATGATGCCACTCTCATGTTGTGTATGTCTCCGCAGTAATGGTTTGATACTTACCTACAGCGAGAGGTTCCAGGTTCGAATCCCGCAGACATTTTTTCTTCATATAGGCCTAACTGAAAATAGGAACGTGATCGTTCCACTTCCAATAAAAATAAAATGATTTATACAAATAACAGGACTATTGAGTTTTTCTTTTGAATAGCCCGGGTCGGCTGAACCCCTTGAATCTGCCACTGAAATACTCATCATAAATTTTTTTTTATTTATCCTTTTAGTCATAATTATGCCCGCTTATGTATTTCGTGCAAACTAACATACATAAAAATAATGATTTATTATCTACTGATTAGCTTGTGACGTATTCAAAATTCTAACCATGACAAACAAATAAGATAAGCTTAAAACAGTCATTAATTTTAATAGTCTTTTTGCATGTACGGTACTTTCAAAATCAATCAAGAGGTTTTTGCTTTTCTCCTCTTTTTGAATTTCACTTTTGTGTAAGTAATATTGCGACTACACTATTGTGTGAGTGGAAATAATGCCGTCTAATTTACGATCAAACAGAACTAGGGAGATAGCATAGGCCTATATTAGTTATCATTTTAATTTTACAAACATATAGGTGATTTACTTAATTTATCATTATCAGTAGCGGCTCCAGGAAACCAAAATAGAGGGGGGACAAGGAGAGACTTCCACAATTTTGGAAAGTAG